CCCCCCCAAAAACAAAAAAAAAAAAACAATGCCTTTATTTTCTTTACAGACATGCCCACAAAGACACCCTCCCCCCTCCAAAAAAAGAAGTAAAAGAAATATCTGATAAACTAGTGGTACTTTAACACATTGTTACATAGAGTGGATGTTTGGTAGCTGGAGACGACATTTTAATTGTAGGTTAGTGACAGGAGTGACCCGAAGGTAATGGTGGCTAAGGCCCACGTTATCTGAATCCTCAACTCTTAAGTATAGTAGGACCTTGTGCTAAATTGTTGTGGTGGACTGTGTATTATTATGGCATTCTACTGAAATGTGTCCTTGCGCAGTTCACTGATGAAAATGGACAAAGGGAACACGTATGGCAGACATCATGGGCAATAAGCACCCGTTTTGTTGGTGGTATCATCATGACCCATGGGGATGATGCTGGTTTAATGCTTCCCCCAAGGCTAGCACCTGTGCAGGTATTTGAAGGTCTCATACTAGTTTGGTCACCTCCCAATTACTAAATCCTGTTTAACTGATTTATGTTTGGTAGTCTTGGTATCAGTTGATCTGCATATCACTTAAGGCTGTCACTAATTTTGCTCCTGTATCTAATGGTTAAGAAGTGTTTCAGCTGTCATATAATACTGGGGTCAGACACAAAATACAATTTATATTGTGCATAATTGATATATAAATTAAAGAACAATCCCTTGTATTATAGGACACAAGTGTGCACCATGAGTGAGAAATTTACAATTAGATTAGATTCTATCAGGCAGAAAAATCACTTTTCATAGTAGGGAACTCTGTACATCTCTAGAATGTACGGGTTGCTCACCTCTCTCTCAGGCTCTGTAAATTTCAATAGTGAATAATTTCGATGCTCTCTCAGACAAATTATTGAGAACTGCCTACTCTTTGGACCCATCTTTACTTACTGAGACAGTGCGGACAAGCTTGTCAGAAAGAATTAATCACTCTCATTTACCTGATGTGATCTAAGTTATATCCACCGAATACAGTAGAATGTAATATTTTTTATTTGTTCTGATGCAATTGGGTGTTTCCATAGTTTTACGGTATCTCATTACTGACTTGAAAGCTAATAATCATTTTCTTCCCCATGGATTGCTCAAACTCATTGACATAACCCCACCCCAAAAAAATAAAACTCTGTCTCATAGTTATCAAAATTGTATGATTCGCGAATCGATTCGGTTCGATATAGATACACAACGATTCGTATCTTATATAAGAATCGCTTTTAGAGTTGAATCGCACCCGAATCGTACGATTCAATTCGTATTGTACAAATCGCACAATTTAGTAATTTTTTTTTAAAACCCAATTTTTTTGCAAAACGACATGGTTTTTTCTGCGAAACAGTAAAACGACGTTGTTTTGTTTGCAGAAGAACTCACATCCTAATAAAAACTCGGCCTCTTTGCCTGTTCTCTTTCTCTCTGACATCGTCTAAAGCGCACCTTGCGTTGTCTAAAGTTAAGGTCACAATTAATGCTCTCACATCATCAGTTGTTTTTTGCTCTCAATTTTTTTATGTGTAGTTTGTTAGGTTCTAATTTTTTGTTTCAAAATGTTGGCATGTATGTTTTTTCTCAATCTATTTTCTTGTTTGTTCTTTTTTCATTCATGTTTGTAACCTAATCTATATTGGTGTCATTGTTTTGGTTCTTGAATAGTCCTGGTTCTTTAATGAATTTGTTTTTTCAAGTTATTGAATTTGAAAATGGTTAAGTATGAGATAAAAAATGAAGCAAAATACTAGCTTCTTTCCATTTAGACGACGGGATTATGTCAATTGATTATTTTTATAATGCAATAAAGTTCAATATTTAATATTTTGTCTATTTTAAATATGTAGTATTATTTTTATTTTTGTTTAAATTTTGTATCGAATCTTACAATTTATAATTTGATACGATTAACGATTATCAAATTTAGGATTTCGATTCACGATACGAATCGCGATTTGACAACTATACTCTGTCTATATGTAATGGAAGTGCTAACTTCAGATGATCTTTAATGATGGGCCTTCACAATGGTTGGGCTTGTGTTGGAATTTGCTAATATTTAATCAGCCTTGGTTGAGGCCACAGTGGGACATAAGTCAAATGTGGCCCTTGGCCTGACTCATTTATATTTTCCACAGGCATAGGTGTAGATTCATACTTTTTTTTGTCAATCTTATCCATGGTTAGTGATATCAGTACGGGTTTTCAGTGCATGAATATTCACCCTTTTTTAGTGGCAAGCTTGGTGAATTGACTATTGCCCCTTTTAAATCTTCATTGCACACTTCCAGGTGATAATTATCCCGATTTGGAAGAAGGACGACGAGAAGACAGGAGTTCTTAATGCTGCATTATCTGTGAAAGAAGTATTACAAACCGCGGGAATCAAAGTGAAAATCGATGACTTTGAGCAGAGAACACCAGGATGGAAATTTAATTTCTGGGAAATGAAGGTAAGTACTCATCGGACAATACGCTGTAATTCCCTCCCAACACCGGCCTCCCTTCCCCTCCTTCCCCTTTTGCCTTTCAAAAAACGGAAAAAGAAGAACACTCTCATACTCGCACTTACAAAGGATGGGATGCATAGAAACACATGCTATCTCGCCACTTGTAACAGTCCTTGGTTTAATGTAGGGAGTCCCTCTCAGGCTTGAAATTGGTCCTCGCGATGTCTCAAGTGGGAGCGTGGTTGCATCTAGACGAGATGTCCCAGGAAAACAAGGGAAAGTTTTTGGAATATCTATGGAACCTTCAGTTTTGGTACCTTATGTCAAAGATAAGTTGGATGAGATCCAATCATCACTTTTGGGATTGGCAACATCTTTTCGAGATAGGTGCATTCTTGTGCTTTAACATTTACCACGTGTAAGCTGATGTGTTGCAATGATTGTTGGATAATTTCAATGACTTTTGTCTTGTCACAAAATTTCTCCCCAACCATTTGTATACATGATGGCCATCTATTTCTTGAATAGAGTCAACTAAACAAAATTGACATTTATTATGGCAGATTGGCACAGTGTTGTCACATGTTTATGTAGTCGGTTGATTTAACTTTAACAGAATATTAATTTTTTTCAGTTTTGAGTGATAACTAGATATGATAACCATGGTCACAGTAGGCTGATTGCTTGTTGTGTATCATCTTAGTGCCAGGACAAATGGTTAACCAAAATTTCTTGGCAAGCTGGGACATACAAATCTGCCAATGTGTTGCAATGATTAATGTGCATGAAGAACAGGCATTTGAAGCAAAGTAAATTATATGCCTGCCTTGTGAGATTTCAGTGAAATTTCTTTCACAACGATTCATGAATTCTCTATGTTTAATTGCAATATTTATAATTGTTACGGCTAAAAGTGGCATCTTGTATTACAATATTGAAAATGAAATTTTATTGCTACATTTGAATGTCTTTAACTTTTTTGAAATGTCTAAGTTTCATACAAAAATGCCAGCGGTTGTAGACCTGCATCTTTAAAGTACTTAAGAGCTTGAATGATTTTGAGATAAATGACCCTAATAGTTGGTTGCAATATGAATGTTGGTATGCATCTAGTATGTCGTTCTAAAATCTTCCAGACTTCACTTCTCCTGGGCTCTTGGTACTCAGATATTATGAAGTATAGTGCATCGAATGAATGAAAACTGAGTGGATTGAAACTTCTATGTACACCTTGTTGAAACAGAGTGTTTTTGTTTCTTTATGCTGACATTAAGTGTATTCTCTGTAGTAATATTGTGGATGTCAGCTCATATGATGAGCTCAAAGAGGTGATTTCTAAGGGAAAATGGGCAAGAGGTCCTTGGTCAGCGAGGTAAATCCAATTTAACTTTACTTTTTTATGTGTATATTTATATGGATGTGCTTTTGCCTTGTAGCACCCATAAACATGTTTCTGGAATTTAACCTCATTTATTGGTACAGTGACAAAGAAGAGTTAAAGGTGAAAGAAGAAACAGGGGCGACCATTAGATGTTTCCCTTTTGACCAACCGCAAGGGACAAAAACGTGCCTTATGACTGGAAATCTGGCAGAGGAAGTTGCGATTTTCGCTAAATCTTACTGACAAGGAGCAGACCATTTCCTTTTATGCCAGTCATCTTTGCACATGGTGGCACTTGTAGTTGATTTTTTCAAGGCTGCTGATGATATTCTGAGTCTGTTTTAAATCTGTGTATAAGATTAGCAGCTTACAAATCGTTGTGAATTTTCTGATTTATATAGAAATGGAGAAATGCTATTAATTAGAGTTGATGTTAATATATTAGAGTGTTTAGGTTTTAACTTATTTGGAATTAAATGGTTAATTTTTCAAGTCTTACTGTATTATTTAACAAAAATTGTCTGCAGCTAAATGTAAATGCAGTGTGTAATCGTTATAATAAGTGTTTTCTGTCTTTTTTGTGGGTGTGCTGGGTGTTTGAGATCATACCTATGGCAGTCGGGGTGGCCTTCTGACTTCCCAAAGACCTCCCTTTGCTGTCTTAAAAAGCAGCAAAGTTCATCTAATGGTTAGTCCTTAAGAGTTGTGCTAATTTTATGCTCAATAAAACAAAGGTTTGCTATTTGTGATCTGTTTCTCATCTCAACGCAGAAACTTTGTTATCATTTTCTCCTCCCTGAAGTGGGTGTCTGCACCATTCAAGTTTATGTTTGTGTGAGGGTGACAGCAACTCTGCCGGATGGGGCAGTTTGGGTTTCAACCCAGGGCATTGGGCTTGAACTTCCATTCACCTACGCTCTCCTATTGGATCCTAGACGCGTAGTTATTCTTTTATTTGTAATTATTGAGGCCAAATCTAGCATATGATGCATTTACTTGATCCTGTATTTTTCAGGGTGGTTCTAAAAAACTGCCTTTGACGGATGAGATTTGGCAATCTTACAGGCCATGGGAAAAGGTCAGGTGAGAAGGTTAGTGAAATGCTTGATCCATATAACTATCCTAGTCCGGATCTTCTACTAGACATCAGGAGTGACATTCCTTAAAACGATGCGTCGGTTTATGTGTAAAGCGGCGTTGTGTTTTTTTTTATGTTTATTTGTTAATGGGTGGTGGAAAAATTCCATGGAAAAAAATATAGAATAATTTTATTGAGATTTAATTTATTGATCTAATTTATTAATTTAATTTGACTGACCGAGTCCCATCAAATTTTTACTCTGTGTTAATTTAATGATTGCAATGAAATTATATCCTTAGGTCAGTAAATTAGTTATTTATAACATTACTCAAAAAGAATAGGGTGAATTATATTTTGTATCTTAAATATTTTAAAATTTTTACTTGGTGCCTTTAAATATTAAATTTTTTATATTACACGTTCAATATATAAAAAATATTACAATATGATCTTTCTGTTAATTTTTTTGCCAGTTTTAATGGACGCTTTTGACTTAAAAAATAACTGAATTTAATAGAATGAACATATTGATAAATTGATAGTACAATATAAAAATTTTAATCTTTAAGGATATAAAATAAAAATCTTAATTTTTTTTTTTTTTGAGATATAAAGCGCCAAAAGTCCAAAAGAATATGCGGACCACTGGCCTTAAATATCGAGTAGTGCAATACAATTCAGAGAAGGCATCTTTGACTTTGTCGTGGTTTGGTGGGTTTTGAATTTGTCCCCATACGAGGCAAGTGGGGTTCCCTCCGTGGAATAAAGGCAACGCGGAGAGAGAGAGAAAAGAAGCAGACGAGAAAGTTTAGGCTTTATTGACGAGCTTTTGACGTATCTCATGTATCTTTTTTTAAAAAATTTTAAATAAGAATAATTTTGAAACTAATTCTCAAATACATGCTGTTTGTAAAAACGCTAAACGATTTGATGTTTTTAGAATAAAAACGTCAAAAGGACTCACGTCTTTATTTTAAAATCGTCAATCTGTTTAACATTTTTTAGTCTAATATTGTAGATCAACCCAAAAAATTAAAAGAATCAAACCATTTGACGTCTTTCCGTTTGACGCCTTTACTTTAATGCCCAACTTTTAATCTATATAATATTGTAGCCGTAATTTTTTGACTTTAGCATAAAGTACAGCAAATAAATGAGTTTTATTTTATGTTATTTTAATTTATATAATTATCATAATTGTCTATTAGTTTAGATAATTATTATAACTGTCCCTAATTTGTATCTTGAGTTTAAATTTAGTCCTTAGTGATAGATTTTTTGCCTGAGTAAAATGTTAAATATTTATGTAATAAAAAAAATTAATTAATAAATTTTTTGATATTTTAAAAATACATAAATTTTTTATTTATTTATTTATAAATATAATTACATTCAATAAATAAATTTTGATAATATAAAAATACATAAATTCTTAACTTTTAACACATCACTCTACCGCCAATCCATCTCATTCAAATTGGGTAATTTTTTTTTTTTTTTTGCTCCTTTATTTGCAAAAAGTCACCTTATTTGTTTATCACTCTATTTGATTTGGGTAATTATCATAAGTGACCCCTAAATTTTGGTCTCGGGTTTTAATGTAGTCCATAAATTTTAATTCTTTTAATTTAATCCATCAATTATCAATTTTATTTCAATTAAATATTTTCATTAATTTTCATCGTCATATTCAGGATCAAAAGCTCAAGATTAAAAGCTTTTAAATCTTTCCATTAAAAGCTCAAAGTTTTTAGCTCCCTCTCTTTGTGAGTGGATGAGTTTTTTTTTATTGAATTAAAAAATTAATTACATTAAATAAATAAATTTTGATAATTTAAAAATATTTATATTTTTTTAGAATATCAAACTTTAAAAATTAAAAACATATACATATAATTAAATTTAAGGTCCCATACAAACTATAAGCGTTACACCCAATACTTTCATCTAGAAGTGTACGTTCTGAAAAAATATAAATGATTCAGAAGGTATAAATGAAAAAATAAGATGTCAACAACGTGGTTGATATTCAAAACAACATAAAGAATTATCGAGTACACATAAATATGATGAGATAAAAGCGTCAGACGCATCATCGTCTAAATCAGAGAAATCAGAAAGCTCAGGATCAGAAACAAGTAACGGATCTTCTAAAATTTCAATTTCGACATATTTCGAATCAAAATGCTTTATTTTAGCATAATCGAATGCGTGGAAACGATCAAGACGACGCTGCATTTGATTATTTTTACGTTGAAGCCTTGAAATGATCTCGTCATGATTGTTTGAATTCTGTGAATTGTAAATATCAGTTGAACGTGCCTTTGGTACCGTAATTCCATGTTAATAACAAAATACTTTAAGGTCACAACGTTTGTCATATAACTATCGTCATGTTGGTGTGGGTTCGATATGAGCACCTGGAGGTGGATAATTAGTTGCAGGCCCAACAATTACATGTCCAGTTTGTCCGAATGGGTGATAAGGGTCGATGAGCTCATTGCGAAATGCACGTTTTTGTCCATACCATGTTACACCACTGGAGTCGGTATATGATTCGATAGAAGGAACTTTGTTCAGCGATGTTGAACTGTCTGTTGAGTGTTCACATTTGTTACTCGAAGATGAACTATTTTGGTGATTGTGTGAAGAAGAACTTGCATGTGATGTGCACATATACATTTTGTTTGGTGGTGGTGTTTACACAACTGTGAAAGGTAGTATATATATGCGCGGTTTGACATAGTTTGGAACTGATTTACTAGTGATGCAAAATGTAAATGAAAAAAATTTAGATATGACAACACATTACATAAATTGATTGAATTGACAACACACTGTATAGATTGACGACACACTTCATAGATTGTTTAAAGTGACAACACACTGCATACATTGACAATTACAAGATATGACAATGAAAAAGTTGAGATATGATAACACACTGAATAAACTTATAAAGCAACAATGATTATTAAAGTAAATAGGACATAGACATAAACGTTATATGCTTAATAAGGTGAACAGTAATTAAAATTTTTAATTTTCATTAGACATATATTCATCTGATAGGTATTGTTCATTAGACAATACTTTAAATTGCTCAGTAGCTGCTAATTCCCTGTCAAATGCAGTTGTGATCATGTCAGATTCTATTTGGAGCATATAATATCGACACTTACGCAGCATCATCCTATTATTCTTCTTTCGTATACGTTTAACTGTTGCTTCATAATTGACTCTATTCTTTCGGGGTATAGTAAGTAAAAGTCTATGTGGCACCGGTATACCAAGTTCTCTCAGATCTGTGCATAATGACTGTGATTGATTAGCACGAAAAGCTCACTCTCGACAAAGTCCGACATAATACTTGTTTGGATCAAAAAATCTCTCACTCTTGTAATTATCATCTCACTCTTGTAATTATCATCTTATTCTTGTAATAACCATACTGGTTCATGCCTACGACTAGTATCACTTGCTCGTGCCCCTGAAGTAGACATAATGTGCAATACATGTTATATGACTCGCCCCATATTATGTTTTTATAGTGATTTTCATTGTCTGAAATAAATACATTTGTCAGCAGTGCAGTAGTGTGTAGTCATCATTATGTTTGAGTTGATGGTCAAACAGTAACAAGATATTTGTGTAGTATGTGTGATTACACACTGGTACACAGTGACTTTGACAACACACTGAGAAATGTAATCCATTAATTTTAATACACCCTCATTCATCATGCGTCATAGTGATTCACGACCCGCAATAAGTTTAAAACCCGGGACAACACAATAGTGCTGCTGAATAAAAACTAGGTACACTGACTGACAATTGCATCATTATTAGTCAATGTGACAACACACTAAGTTGATGTGACTAAACACTGGTTAAATGTCAGTCTGTGTGACTATACAATGGTTCACTGTCAAAAAGTGTCAATAGATATTATTGTGTTGTCCGTGACTGTAAGTACATAATGTTCAAATGTCAATCGCATACTAACATAAATAAATTGCCTACAAATATGAATTAATATTAAATGTTCAATGAACAGATTTTATCTCTAACAATGAATTTTAGTCCGAGAACCTTGTTTGAAACTCTGGATTATCATTGGGTTTTAGATGATGAGTTCTTTTACCCAATGAATCTTCAGTTACGCTATTCACTAACAGCTATGAACACAATAATGGTGGAATGACAATATCACTTGACAGAAAGAGAAAATCTAAGCTTAAATTTACGTTTTTGCAACATAAGAAGGCCTCGACAGGTTGTCATTGGTATGCCTATTAACACTCCTCAATAATTAGAGCGAGCATTGTTTCGCATTCAAGTTGAGAACAATCGAATGACAATACATTGTAATCGATACAATCTACGCCGTATTGCAAGCGACCGTGCTGCAGAAGGGAGGATGTAAGAAGCAAATTTAAGCTACCAATTGAGTGGTGAAGCT